ATGGAGACTATAGGTAAACCCTTGAACCCTAAACCGTTTGGGGCGTGAGGAAGAGCCAAGGTCTCCAACTCCTTTGCCTTTAGTATGTACCAGGGCTAGGCTTTGGGGTTTAGGCTGTGCTTCAGGCCTACATGTGCACGGAACTATCTATAAGTCTTCGCTACATTTTCGATGGGCCCAGGTACATCAAGAAAATGAGCATGCAGAGCCAGAAATCGGTTCGTTGCCCTAAGTTCGACTAGGGCTTCGGGTTGCAGCAGTTTCAGAACCCAGGAAAAATCCTAGACAACGACAGCGCTCTGCACAGTATCTATCAGCTTTGACCTCGGGCGCGGCGAGTCCAAGAGACCCCAGGAACTCTGCCTGGAAACTCAGGACTCGAGCTTAAACTGTGTCCCACAGCAGCCCGGTGATGGAATCTTGGTGCCTCATTATTTAGACTAGGGTTGTGGGGTACATTTTCCTCAAAATATACCAAACAACGACAAAATAGTATTGGCCATTATGAAAAAATCTCCTGTAAAATGTAGGGTATATGCTAAAAACTCTTAGGGTTTAGGGAGCCCTGACCTCTGACCCCATTTCAGGGCTGTAGGCCTTAAGGATGCCACAGCCGCTACTCTTTGAGGTTTGTGACGTGGCGAGAAATGTAATTTTATGGCTTTAATCAAAATGTATAGTCATATAGCATTGATAATTAATGATAGAGAAAACATCCCGGTGTTGCGGCGGAACTCAGGTTCTGAAGAGTTAAACAAATTACCCGAGATCCGGTGCGAAGTCTGCACAGATCTCCAAAAGCCATGTCAGGCACGCTGAGACCCCAACACCCCTTGACCGAGGAGTGTTTCTTAAACATGAAGAGCCACCAGTACACGTGTACATGTTTCATTATATATATATATATGTCTTTACATGTGTTGTGTTGTACATGTACATGTGATGTGCAGTCGCATGTACCGTCCAAACCTCGAACTAGCACAGGGTCGTGGGTTTCGTGAGGCTTTGTAATTTGTGAAGCATCGAAGGGGTACTGGAGTCTCGCGGCATACCATGGGGCCTGACAAATCTCGAGTTTGAAAAACAGTTTGGCGTGTCCTCGCACAGTGCAAGAGTGTGAACCTAAACACCTTGTACCTGCTCACCTCCAGCATGAACAAAAACATAAGAAACGAACACAACTAAGTAGACCCTGAACATCACCGAACCGCAGCATAGCTTTGAATGTCCTGTTTCACAAATGAAACTCTACCGTTAGATGCTAGTTAAGCCACAAAACTTGCAGTTCAATCCAGGCTAGGAACACCTTGTGTGAAGCTTGAACTGTAAACTCCAAGGCACAACACATTCATGTCAGGGGGCAGCTACACCCTCGCTGTCTTGGTGCTGCTTTAGGGATGTAGCAATGCACGCCTCATGCATAAATAGGTCTTATGGTTGGCAGTGACTTCTCCAGACCGGCACCCTGCACCTTCTTCGAAACCCTTGTTGAACCCACATAAGAGCCCTTGCCCCTTATAGACGCCTTCCAGTATGGGTCCCAACCGCCCTAAACCCGAAAAGTTTGGGCTTTATGCCCTGAACCCCAAAAAGTCTGGATCCTAAACCCCTCAAAGTCTCAACCCTAAACCCTAAACCCCTCAAAGTCTCAACCCTAGACCCCAGATCCTACAACCTAAGCTCACTGTGCCAGAGGAAGGATCTCGTGGCTTGAAGAACACGAGGGTTCAGGACCAAACGAAGCCGAAGGTTGCTTGTGTTTGAGGCGGGCTTTGGGTTCCTCTGCGCGGTTTCTTAAAGGGTCGGTTCGGGTTTAGATAGGAGCTATGTGGAGTTTGGATTTAGGGTTCCATGTTTGCGGCGATACTGAGGGTGTTAGTTGTTCGTTTCGTCGGGCGTCTAGGATGATAGGGTACTTAGAGGATCATGGGACTTAGTAATTACTTATAACCCGACTTAAGGTACTTATAACCGTATACTTACTAAGTCCCATGATCCTCCAAGTAGAGAGTTACCGGAAAGGTTCCAGAAACGGCTCTCTGGGAGCTTTGAGTTTCAGTTCGAATTGGGCTCAGGGTTCCAGGCATAGGCTCCATAATGATAGTTCCTTTTTGGGATTACCTTATAGGATTCTAGATATGAACCCCCAGCTACTATGGAGCCCATGGGTAGTGGATTAAAGTAACGTCTTCAGGATTTAGGATCTTTCGTCCAACAGCAGTCTACAACTGACAGAGCGATGACGGGTGCGAGGCTCTTTCTGCTCCTGTCATTTGGTCCAACTAAGATGTACTGAGACCTATACACGAAATAGAATTAAATAGAACTTCTTCAAAGGTGAACTGGATCTTCAAAAAGACTCGGACTTCCAGGTGCAGTGACGAGTGACGACCCCTTCGGGGACGTCCTGCTCCGACGGCTGACATGAGCACGTATACAACACCTGTGTTGTTTACCTGCTATACGGCATATTTAGGTTGAGGGTGTCGGGCTTGTTGTTTACCTACTATACGGTCTCTTGAGGTTCAGGGTTCCGGGTTTATTGTTTACTTACTATGCAGTCTATTGAGGTCAAGGGTTTCGGGTTTATTGTTTACTTACTATATACCCAGTACTCGTTAAAACTGAATCACACAAAAAAACACCCTACGCCCTTTTTACATGTGGCCTGCATCAATACATTGCCAAAGGCCCTTTTACCAACTCGGCTCAATTCTAACCAGTTTCAACCACCACTTCATCGCATTGACTCCTTAAAACTGACTGTTGAGCGGAGGAGAGGCCCTAAACTTAAACAACCCTGAGCGAGAACCAGAAGGATCCGTTATACAACCTCCCGAAAACATGTTTGTTCATCCGGGCCTCTTCGAACTGCCGGGTACCCCTAAAAGATCAAGCCAAGAAAGTCTCACGAATCGTAACCTGAACCCCTAAACCTAAAGCAACCGATCAAAGCCGCTAAACCCTAAGACCCCTTCTTGTGGGCCCCCCCAAAACACGAAAGCCTTTCCCTCTGCCTGCAGATCTCGGAAAAGCTTTCATAGCGACTTATCACTAGCTTCCTTGTCAACGGCTAATACAAGGTACTCCCTTGTTGCTACTGGGTAGTTGTATAAGGGGCCTTAGACACAAAAAGTGAACAAAGCGCCCACTGGGGAGATCAAATGGCTCAGCCCCCTAAACGCCTGAACCCCATGAGCCCCTAAACTCCTAAACCCTAAGTACACGTCCGGGTCAGGCATTTTATTGAAACTCCAAGTAAGGCTCAGCAGCATGAGGCTCTACAGATCTTGCAGTTTGTGGGTTAGGGCCTGGAAACTCCACGTTTGTCAATCACCTGCAGGAAAGATTACCTTCCAGAAGCCTGTTTTCTCCATGAGCCCTCGGCTCTGCAGTATCTTTGTCAAAGGTGCAGGGATAATTACGCGTCCTTCAGTGCTGATCGAGTGCAGGGACATCGGGTGTAGGATTTTCGGTTCAAGGGTTACGGTTCAGAGGCCAGAGCTTGACCAAGCTCCAGGAAATTATGTAAGCACAAACTCCCCAGTTCTTTGAAGAAGCTCCCCAACCCCGAAACGCTGATGGGGACTGTGCAGAAGGCTATTGGCTCCTGCAAGGTTTAATGCAGCGCCATCAGACTTATAACTTATAACTGATACCTTAGAAGGGGCCCCCACCCTGTAATAGTGACCATAAGGATATATAAGGATTATATTAGGGCCCTATTATATTCCTATTATACCACTATTACAGGGTGGGGGCAGCTTCTAACTCATACCAGCTATGTTCGAAACAACCCCTTTGCATTCTCTGCCACGTCGGGGCAGGCACCCGCTGCAGGTCCGAATTTGTAAACACAAGCTTCTCGACGACCGAGGGGCGCAAACGGGATGATCGGAAATACAAGTGGTGCTTCAAGCGAAACCTAAACCCTCAGCCCTAAATGGACATCCTAATTAGGCCCGACCTCTAGGAAAAGCGGCATTACCCTTAAAAAATGTTTCTGCAGGGTCCAGGTGAATGCTAACGTCAATCTGCGAGTGTCCCAAAGTCTATTCGTAACTCTGTATGAGTACATGGGCAAACCCTAGTTACAACGACCTCAAAGGACACCCTGCATAGTAAACCCGATACATACCCTTGGGGAAAGGTAGGGGCGCACCACGTTTGCCTGAGTCGCTCGACGAGGACCAAGGGGACCATGCCACAGACGGCAAGATAGGAAGCAAATGTCACATCCATGGACAGGCTATGGGGCTCGGCTTGGGGATCGGATATAGGGCCCCAAACCCAAACCCTAAACCGAGATTAGACTCGAGTCCAATCACGACTATGCCTCAACATAGGAACCATTGGTTGGTAGTGGCCACAACCAAGCCGTAGAATATCACAATCGAGTTGTGGCGCATTTTTTTGGCGTGAGAGTTTAAACGCTCAGGGCTTTCAGCATGTTTCGGCTTAAAGGTTTGTATTTTTGAAAATTTAGGAATGACGGCTTGCATGCTTGTAAATGAGCGATGAATATGGGAAACCGTAGTTAGCCACAAGCCCTTGCAACCCCAACCGAGCTACTTAACACACAACACGTTTCTGCATGCTCATGAACTATCCAACAACGTGGCCATTCTTAGCTTAGGGCTTTCGGATAAGGTTGACGGTGCCTCTGGCCTTTTGACCCAGTTTCCTGGACAAACCTACGGCCTTGACTGTAACTGTAAACCTCAGTCTGGCAGTCGAAACATTCCTGATATACTGCATGGGCTTTTGGTCCATCAACTCGGCTTGCAAGCCACCCTGTGAAAAAGAGCGCCCAATACCCCATGAACTAAGGAATGAGACATGGGCCAATTGCATCCAAATCCTAGGATTCTGTCTATATTACTTCGAGGTGTGAACCCCCCACGAAATTCGGATACCCCATGTCCCGTAAGAATCAGAAAGCCTATCGTTCCGTAGTTACGGGGCACGTACATTGGGCTCTCTGGCGACTCCAGAGTAGCTCACTGACTACCTTTACGTTTGCTTTTGACGATGCCGGTGAAGGTGCGCGGCGCCAATTCCTGGGTTACCCACTACCCCGCGTCACAAAAAGCCCACCCTGTTTCCCGCTATTCAGTTTCCCGAACCCTATGCCCTTGACGCCAGCAATGGGAAAAGGGTACTACTGGCCGACCAAGCTTCAACATCCTGCAGGAATCGATTCCTTAGATCGCCATCGAAAGCTGCAAATGGCCACTCCTGCACAAAAAAACACGCGTAGCATCTGCAGGCAAAAGTGTCGGAAAGCAAACGACTCATACGACACATAGCCGAACCAAATGGGGAAGCTGCAGACAGGAAGATAGCGATTCCTGCCATAGAATGGAAATCTAATGAACATCCGGTAATTGGAGGGAGACGGAAGTAAAGGACGCGTGCCCTACTTCTCGGAAACGTCTCAACTCGGATTCGGGTGAACACCAAACACTTGTGACCCTAAACCCTAAACCCCAAAACCCTAAACCTAAACCCTGCCCGAACTGCTAAAGAACAAAGCAAATTACATCTGCAGCTCCCTCTCCTCAGACCCCAACACCATGCGGGAGCTTCGGCAAATAATTAGGGGCCCCTGATATGGCATCCTAAATAGTAGGATCGTTAGTCTAACGACTCCAAAATAAGGTACCCCCCCCCCATTCTCGGAAAGTCCCGTGCGAAGAAGCAAGGTGCATCTTTCGGAGATGGCGCTCATGGAGCCGACGATCCGGCGGGATGATGGTTCCTCTTCGGCTTAGGGTTTAGGGTTTAGGGGTTAGGGGTTTAGGGGTTTAGGGGTTTAGGGTTTAGGGGTTTAGGGTGTAGGGGTTTAGGGGTTTAGGGTTTAGGGGTTTAGGGGTTTAGGGTGTAGGGGTTTAGGGGTTTAGGGGTTTAGGGGTTTAGGGTTTACAGGGCCTTTGGGGCTTCGGGAAATCTACAGGGCTTCAACCAAAGTTTTCAACAAGGGTTCTGTAAGGGATTTGGGAGTTTCCGAAAATAGGGGTACCTTATTCTGGGGTCCTTCGAATAAGGATCCTACTATTTAGGGTACTATATTACGGTCGCCTGTTTTCGGAAACTCCCATTTGACAAGAGTTGCATCTGGTCGCTCTCGACTCACGGGTGTTCTACAATGCCGCTAAGTTATGATTGTTTCACGAAGTTATGTCAAGCGGGATATGCCGGGGACTGTACTAGGTTTATGCATGACAACGGCTTTGTAAGGGTACTATAGCTTGGGTTATGCAAAGGTACATCAGGGTTTTGAAGGGTCTACTGGGCTTTATGACACCGGGGTTATCTAGCGAGTTCCCTTTGCCCTTTGTAATAGTAAACCATACAGTAAACACAAGAGAGTCCAGTGACTGTGAGCTTTAAAAGGGGTGTCTTGCTGCAAGGGCTGGCAAAACACCCAGGGTTCACAGGGCTCAGGCACTTGGGCCAGGAGGTTTTGAGGGTCTGAAAGAAATCAGAAAGACTACTTGGGACTTTCTTGAAGCTCAGCTAGCACAACTGCACTCGGTGTGCTCGAGTCCTCAGGAAACTCTAAACTAACTCTACAGCCTAAAGCCTCAACCCTTAACAACAAACCCTGAACCCTAAACCCCAGTCGGCCTAATCCACAAACCCAATCCTGAAACTTTGAGGTCGTCAGGATGCTGGTCAGTGGTGTTGGGCTCTGTGGAGGGCCCAGCCTTGATCCTTTAACCCTATGCTACCCCAAACTTCCCTAAGCCGCAAACCCTCACGACACCCTACTAGTAGTTCATAAACGCGCGATCTTTGTTGAACCCAGGAAGAAACCTTACTACAGCCTCCGGGACCTCGTAACCAGTGCTATAACATGCTGTCACTATACCTCCCTTATGAACACTACCCCCCCCCTTTGCGCAGAAACCAAATTTCAACCAGAGAGTGCGTCCTGGGGGAAGATCACGATGCCATGAGGCGCTATCCATAGAGGAGCCGACAGTGTCCACTGTTGAAGCAGTTGAATCTTTGCCTGGGCGCTTATGGCTTGAGGAAAGCCTTCACGAGTTTTGTTGAAGAGGCTTGAACAGGTTGTACTGAATTCTAGACGGTGTTGCAACGGCTTCATAGAGCTTGCTTATGTGTCTGAATATAGCTGTATCAGCTTTTCTTGGTGTCTATGGATGGTACGAAAGTTTCTCTGACACGAGAAGTTCTTGCACTTATTGGCCCTTCGTATCCTTTGGGCTGTCCACTAGCCCATTATACACCTCGGTCTCGGCTAGATTTGGGTCTCTAGTCTGAAACACAGATTTTCAAATGTGCCCTGCTTCGGGGTCGTTGCGAGTGTATTGAAATCTGCATGTGAAATCTTGTGAGATCGCGCAGGAGCCCGGGTAACCGGACGCCAACATAGCACTCAAGCCCGGTCGCTTGTGCTTGTCGCCCGCGCAAATTCGCCGTCGGGAAACGTGATCAAAGCTTCAAAATCGTCCTCGTCCTCATAAGGGCCAACATCAAACCATGAACCCGCAAGTCTACAGACCCATAGAATCCGAATACTTCAAACCCTTACAGAATATAGAAGCACTTCTCATTTACACCTTATACATGCCTGAGCCCCATCGTTTCACCCCTTCTATACCGAACAATGGGAAACGAGGGGGGGTAAGCCATCCTTGGCAAGTATAGAATTCCTTTAAAGGTATCCTTAAGGGTTACTTTAAGGGATCTCTATATATATATATATGTATATGGTTTAGGGTTTAAAGATCCCAGAGATAGAAACCCAAAACCCTATAAACCCTAAACCCTATACCCTAAACCCTAAACCCAAAGCTGTCCTCAATCAATGGGTGGTCTGCCGGCTTCAGCCTCATGTCGCTCATCTCATCCAGGAGAGGCTCCTACAAAGTTTAAGGCCCAGATCTATATGCCTTAGAAGCTGCCCCCACCCTGCAATAGTGACCATAAGGATTATATAGGATTATATTAGGGCCCTATTATATTCCTATTTTACCACTATTACAGGGTGGGGGCAGCTCCTAATGTATGCCCCTTAGAACCATCATAAAATGGAAATTGTTATCTTGGGTCTTCTATGAACAAACACGAAAAAATAATGAGACAATAGTGTCTCCAAGGATTTCGACTCTCATAAATTAGGGGTCAACCACCTTTAAGGGCTCTTCTATGGCTCTATCATGATTTCCAGGGCTCTATAAGGGGTTCCCTTAAAGCCGCCCTGAACCCCAAACCCTTAAACCCCCTAAACCCCTGAACCCCTCAACCCCAGGCCTCCTCCGGAAGATCTGGCATGGGCGGCTTCCGAAAGGTCATGCGGCTGAAGTTGCAGGGCGTTGGCTCGTGCTCCTTTTGACTTTGCTTTAGGGCTTAGGGACTTTTAGGGTTCAGGGTTTAGGCTTTAGGCTTTAGGGAATTTGAAGGTTTTAGCATTCAGGGTTTAGGCTTTAGCGTTTCATTGTTGGCGCAGAGCGCAGGGCTCCTTTAAAGGTTCATTCCGCACAGGGTGCCATAGAACCAGATCAGGGTTCCTTGGAAAGTACCCCTAAGGGTCCATGTGCCCAAACAGTATATACTTTGGGCCCAATGTGCTCATATAGGGAGTACTATTTAGGTACATGGACCCTGAGGGTACCTCTCCAGCGCTCCGTAAATCCATGGATTGAGGGCTTGGACCCTCGCAACTCGGACAATGCGGGCGGGGATGGTTCGGGTGCGAAATGGGCTTATAGGGTTTGGGGTTCAGGCCTTTCTTTCCCTCTCGCATGGCTGGAGGCAAGGTGGAGGTTCAGGCTTGAAAGCTCTAAAAACGGAAAGAATGCCTAGCCCTCCCCCGAGGAAACGACCCATTCAGGGTGAATTATGATTCAGGGCTGTGGTCTTCTAGGCTTGTTTTCGCGTGAGGGTTGGGCAGTTAGAGATGTTTCCCCCAACCAAAATGCCTGAATGAAAGTCTTGTTAACCACAGCTATCGGCCAGGTAATACTATGAACAAAGCTGCATCAATAACAACAGCAATAATAGCACCCATAATCGCCATCGTCGTCATCATCATCAGCAGCAGCAGAATGATAATGCACTTTGCTACAATAGAAATATAATACAGTCATATAGTAAAAGGTAGCAACATAATTTTCAAGAATAACAGAAAGGAAGTAGCGCTGAGGAGTCATTACTTCAATAATAACAACAACAACCGCACCCCATGGGCGTTGCATAACTTGCACCAGGTGGCTAGTGCGATCAGGTAGCGCGCAAAGTCTTTCAGAACCCCCCGTCCACAATGAACTGTTTGGGGCTACATACCCTGATAACTTATATGGGTGGTTGTCAAAATTAGGGCCCCTATTTGGGTCCCTATTTTAAGACGGCACCTGATCATGAATATTTAAGGGACCCAAAAAGAGACCCTATTTTTGCCAACTACTCATATGGATCCGTCCAGGGCGCCATGGCCCCTGCGTAACGGAACTTTCTATTCACCATATAACTCAAATTTCAACGTAGAGCATAGTTGAAGGGAAGAAACGTTCATGAACGACTCCTAAAAAAAGCTTTCTCAGACCAGAACAAAACCCTATAGATTAGAAGAGGCCCCCACCCTGCAATAGTGGTATAATAGGAATACAATAGGGCCCTAATATAATCCTTATAGTCACTATTACAGGGTGGGGGCAGCTCTTAACCTATAGACTATACGTCTCACCTTATGGGCTACTTTTGAACACCGCTGGTCGAATCCCCAGCCCTGCACCAGCCTAGAAGCTAGACCCAAGAGTAGCCTAGGAACAACAAGGGTGCTCTTTTTGGTTTAAAGGGGCTTATAAGGGAACTTGAACCCAAAAAAAGGGAATAAGGGCCTACTCTAGGTCCGAGGAAGGAGTCCAAACTTACAAACCCCAAACCCCAAAACCGAATGGTAGAAGCCTTGATTCATACTCAAAGCAGCCCGTAGGATCAACCCCCCCCCGGCCCCCGATCTCCCACACCCAAACCCTCAACCCCAAACCCTCGAAGCACTAACCTTAGCACTTTCTCCGAAATCCTTTCACCCTCAACCCTAAACGCTTCTTCCGAGACCCTAGAACCCTAGCCCCCCACCCCCCTTTCTTCCTCGGCCACTGGCTCTGGAGGCTTCAACATGCACTGATCGCTCAGACTCGGGCCAAAAGCGGTCGAAGTGGCCATAAATCCTGAGTTTGGGTTTAGGGTTCTAGAGGGTGGAGGATTAAATCGAAGCGTTGGGGTTGAGAGTTCGGGGTTTCGATTCATTCCTTTCTGAGTTAGGGGGCTGTAGTTGTTGGTCTACGGGGCTTGGGGTTCCAGGTCGTTTGAAGGGGGCCTTGACGTTCAGCATTAGGGTTTCGGACTTCTGGGCTTTTTGTGTTTTGGGGTTTCAAGATTAACGCTTTTAGGGCTCAGGGTCGTGGTGGGGTTCCCAATTCATCCGAGAGTCCCATGCCAATGGTCCGCGCGGAACCGGGCAGAGAAATCTTCTTCAAAGATATCTGGTGAGCCAAAAAAGGTCTTTGGCACACACAAGGCAGAAAGCCCAAACTGCAAAGCCGCAGTACTGGATTAAGTCCCCGGCTCTTGAATCACTGAAGTAGTTGTAAGGTGGTCTAAAGCTCTCTAACCGGGGATAAGGGGTGATAGGGGTGTGTTTGCCGAATGCCGCGACCCTTCCAATCAACTCCAATCCGAATACCCCAAAAAACTCTGTGAGGCTCTAATGAAACGAACTTCTGCAAGCAGTTAAACAGCTCGCAGCCCCAGACAGATACCCAACATAACCACCTACAATTTTCTCTTGACGAAGTTCCGGGTCTGTGGTTTAGGGGTCCGGGTTGACCAAAATTACCGCTGACATAAGTAGACGTAAAGTAAAAGCCAGAAAGTTGGAATATCATTATCGTAACCCCTTTAAGGTAAATTATAGGGGATCCCACCATTAATCCATATTCCAACTTTCTGGAGTTCCCTTTAAACCAAAGGACTCCGAATTGCCACTTGTCGATTTGAAGTTTGAAACCCCAAACCCCTGAATCAGGCACCCCCATTCCAGGCTGTGCTGTACAATGCTGTGACACGCAGTCATTACATTTTCGGTATTGCCATCACACCAACGTCGGCATAAGCACTACACACTTAGCAGAAGCAAGAACTGGTGCTGCTGCCCAAAATAGCAGGAGGGGAGTGAAAAGGGAAGGAGGAGAAACACTAGCGGTAAGTAAGCGACTGTGAAAGTGCCAGCGCTAGAAGCAGCAGCAGCAGCGATGGTGGTGGTCGTCGTCGTCTTCGTTGGAGTTGCTGCTGTTGCGGTGGCTATCCATACTGTTGTTGGTGTTGGTGTTGTCAGTGAAGGTGGTGGTAAGTATACCGTTGCCGCTGCAGCTGTAATTGCCGTTGCTGTTGCTGTCACTGTGGCTGCTGTTGTGGTGCTGGTCCTGGTCCTGGTCGTGGTGGTGGTGGTGGTGGTGGTGGTGGTGGTGGTGGTGGTGGTGGTGGTGGTGGTGGTGGTGGTGGTGGTGGTTTGACAAGAGAAATTGGAGTAGGAGAAGGCACAAAATGCCGTCGTGAGCATGAGCGATGTCAGTAGGAACAGTAGGAGTATCAGCAGCATCTGCGCCACTAGCAGCAAGAGTCGCAGAAGGACACTGGGCCACTTGACGATGTGCAATCCTACTGACCCCTTTAAGGAACCCTTTAAAGGGAACCCTATTCTAAATAGTAAGGCAAAAAGCCCTCCAAATGCCAAGCCGCCGTCCCGTGATGTTGATAACACCGCTTTTGGAAGTGAAAGTGAGGCCGCGCCTACAGCGAGCGGGGCCCAGAGACTCCAAACCCATATGCCTCAAAATAATATTTAAGGCACATACCTTAAATCATATTCGGGACCCTATTATAATTCAAGGAATATATACCTTAGATCATAGTACGTGTAGGGACCCTAATATAATTTGTGTACTTTGAGGGGTATACCTTAAATCATACGAGTTATTATGTATTAAGGAATATACTTGAGATCATATTCGGGACCCTGTTATAAATTAAGGAGTATACCTTAAATCATATCAAATACCCTATTATGTTTGTATCAACGTACCTTAAACCATATTAGGGACCCTATTAACATTTACGTCATATACCTAAAATCATATTAGGGACGCTACTATAGTTTGAGGAATACACCTTAAATCACATAAGGGACCCCACTATTTTTCTTAAGAATATACCTTAAATCATATGAGGCACCTTAGTATAATTTAAGGAATATACCTTACATGATATGGGATCCTATTATAATCTAAGGTAGATTCCTTAACTAAGGGAACAAGAGCACTGAGCAGAAATGGCCAAGCAACAGATGTCTACTTGTATTGCCGAAGTTTGCCGAACATGCCGCACTCTGACTTCGCCCCTGAGCTAGGCCGCCTGGCAAGACCTGTTTGTAGAAATGAGCCTAAACAAAAATACCTTCGCGCAACAAAGGCGTTTACTGTTGCACAAAAATAGGCGCTACGTGCCCTGTTTTGTCTTTATGCGAGAGATGTTCGGTATTCGGTGGACTCTAACTCGTTGGATCAAGCAGTAGTATCCAAACTGGCTGCATGCGGAAGTTCATAATTTCGAGCACACAGCCGTCATCACACCAGCATATGGCCAAACCGAACCTAAGCCCTACTTGAAGGCTCAGGGGTACGCATAAGCGAAGTTACAAGGACTTTGATTACTTTGAGCGAGCCGAGATAATCACATCATTATACTTACTAAGCTCAGGCACGCTCTACCCTGGACCCTGAAAAGGCTTCAGCCTGCAATCGTCAGCGAAATCCAACACCCCAAAGCCTTCGGTTCAGAGTTTAGGGGCTGAGCATGGTTGCGGGTTTTGGGGAAGATGCCAAGAAGCCTGACTTGGATGCTGCCACGGGATATCCAGACCCGCTTCGAGCAATTGCTTCCGCACTCGTTGATATCAATCCTGGTAATACTGGGCCGATAACGCAGCCCCTTAATTCATACTAGACCTAAGACTAACCTAGGAATAAAAAGGGTGCCCTTGTTGGTTTAAGAGGAGTTATAAGGGAACCTAGACCTTAAAAAAGGGCATAAGGACCTACTGTGGGTCCTAGCATAAGACCAATCTCCTTCAAGGCCTGCAAGAGTGGAACCCAACATTCCTATTGACTGGAGGACACAGAGTTCCCTGAAGCACGGGTCTACATCAGCCCGAAACCTGCACGCCACATGTCTTTGTCAACAATCTTTGGGGTTCGAAGGGATTGACTTGTGTACCTGGGCATTGAAAACAAGATTGGTGCGGCTAGTATAGTTGCCAGTTACAGATGACCGAGTCTTATGGGCTACAACTGTGGGCTAAAGCGGCTGTGCAAAACGGCGTTGCATGGGATTTTGGGGCCTCTCATTGCAGGGTCAGAGGATTTGGCAAGGGATCTCTGGTTCAGAGTTTTCGGGCCTTAGTGTCCTTAGCGTGTAGGACTTTTTGCTGACTCTCATGACCCTTCAATTATACGGACTTGCAGCATTAGGAAATCATATAAAGTGGCCTTTACACTGAAACACAACTTCCCGGCGGGGTTTATATGGGTGGTTGTCAAAATTAGTCCCGTACCTTAAATACCGTATTATTATAGGGACCCAGAAAGGAACCATAATCATGACAACCACCCATATTGGCAAAGCTAAAACGCTAAACTCGACATCTTTGCTCATGGGCTGGGGTTGAGAGTTTGGGTTTTTGGGTTTGGGGATTGAAATAGTACTGTACTTTGACATTCGTCTGCTGCAAAGACTATCTCCGGCGGAGGCTGCCAAGAACGTCTTACACAGCAGAAGTATTACAGTTTCCCCCAAGCCGTACTTACCAGTCTAACCAATAAGGCCTTTATATTACATGCATGTTGGACTACCCCGCACCCCGCTGGCTACAAGAATCACAGGCTCGAATTTGTTTAAACCCGTACTGAGAAACCCTAAACCCTAGCGCCTGAGTAAGCCCTTAGTAAGAAAAACACCCCCAACAACTAATGTGCCCCACCAACACCTTAAGTACACCTCGTTGCTTTTCGTTCCTGCGGGTGTCCATGACCGAAAACCCCCCAAATACAATATCTCAGCTGGACTTTCCCACGGAAAACAGATAACGTAATGGGTTCCCTCCTGGGCCCATACACATCGACGTAACACACCCTCCATGAACATTATGTTACGGAGGGGTGGTAGTAAGAAGCCCCATAAGCGACAAACCCTTAGTAAGAAACCCTAAACCCTAACCCTAAACCCGTACACAGAAACCTTTAACCCTCAACCCTTCCTACAAAAAAACTCAGCCACAAACCCTTAGCAAGAAACCCAAAGCTCCTAAAGACGTACTGAACACCCTAAACCTCCGACCGCTAGTAAGGCACCCTATATAAACTCAAGATTCGGAGGCCGATCTAAACCCCCAAGCGTTTAGGGCTTGACACGAAGGTCTGACTGTTCAGGTGTAGTATCCCCAAACCCTCACTGTCGCAAGCTGAAGCTGCAAAATTGAACCGAGCCAGTAACACTCTCAAATGGGTGGTTCTCATTTTAGGATCCTTGTTATAATTTATAAGGGTACCGCCCTATTTGTGGGAACTAAACAAGGGCCATGTACCGTTGTTAGAGTGGCTGCAAGGCGCTGGCTGAGGGTGCGTAAACAAACACCCTAGTTCCCAGAACTGCCCAACTTATTCTTAAACTTTGGAGCTTGGCGAACAAAAACACAAAATTCCATGCAGCAAATGGTTGGCTCTAGGGGTCAAGGGATTGGGGAAGGCGCCGACAACCAACACTTGCAACCCGATATCTAAACCTCCAAGCTGAGGAAGCAAATGACACAAACTTCCACAGACCACAACCTAATACCTAATACAGCACCCTCAAAAGTAGAATCCCTATGATAGGGACCTTAAAATTATGAGGTACCCCCCCCTGTTTTGGAAACTCCCAACATGCTACGCCCAAAGCAGCCCAGAGGCCTCAACCACTGGGTCTCCAAGTGGCAACCGTCACACACAAATCCTGAGTGGGTTTCCCAGAGGCTCCAATACCCCTTAATTAAGGAATATACCTTAAATGATAGTAGGGTCCCTATCATGATTTAAGGTATATTCCATAATTAAGGGGTATTGGAGTCTCTGGTTTCGGGTGGCCTGAACCGAGGAACACGTATGTGGGGGGGGGGGGGGTCTTCAGATGATCTAATCCAAGCTGCATACATTAAACTAGGTCTCGACTCGGAATGCAGGAAAGAATTGAACTGCTTCCTCACGGGACCCTTCCACAACTCTCCAGACCCTTTGACAGAAGCTCGGGACCTTAAGTTTGTCGGATCTTCCCGCATAGTTACCTGGGGATCCAAAAAACCGTCAGAGTGGCCATACCCTGCAACTAAGGGTCCTGAACCCGTATT